GAACAGCTGTTCTGCAACGTAAACATGCTTTATTTTTTTTACCTAGTAGTCACAGTCAAGCTACAGGATGGAATGTTAAAGATCTTTGATGTCTTTCTTCTCATTTTACTAATAAAAAGCACTTAAAAGGAGATAAACGCACGTCTTTCGTCTTGCTTTCTGTGTAATTGCAATCTAAATGAAAAAGCAGTGAGGAGTTGTGGTGTGGTGTTGCTGCTATTTTTGATGGATGGATGGACCGATAAAAAGAGGAAATTTGATATTATCCCAGGTTCATTTAGCAATTTATGTTCCTTTATGCGTTTACGGAATTATTTGTCATTGAAAAGACGTTAAGGAAAAATTTTAGCGTTTATTAGGTTTTGAAACAATAAAAATAAATGCGTGGAACTGGCAGAAAAAGAAACTGACCTATAACTAGATGTGTGAAGCTTTATAAACAAATGTCAAAGTTTTACTCTAATTTGTGAGGAAATTAAACATGTAGGGCATTTTGAGGAACTTTACATAATAAGTTAAACAAAGTTAAACATCTAGTTAAACAAAGTAAACCAGCGTCGTTCTTTATAGAAAATACAACCAAGTTTAGAGCAAAGCTGCAAACATTTACGCACTTTTAACCTTTATGTTGCAATTTAAACTTACGAAAATAGAAATGTAAATGTCTAAACACACCGAGATTCTGGCAGTAGACGTAAATATTCCTTTACACCAAACAGGGAGTAAAAATAAGACTAAATGCACTCTAAAACTTCATGAGTGTTTTTCATTTATTTACATTTTTACTTTATATTGAATATCTGCACTGAGATAAATTAAAATAATATGTTAATATCTGAAATCAAAGATGAGTTCAATTATTTAATTTTCATTATTTGAAGGAAAATCTATTGTTTTTTAAACAAAAGATTGATGAGCTACTTATTCTGGTTTCTGTATTGTTTATTCAAGTTTAAAGCAAGCTGTGAAAGAATGTGTTCTGCCTGTTTCAGGTTTTTTTTATGTGGAAATGTGTTGCTTAGATGTTCTGAATGAATGTGAAGACGTCTGAAACAAGCAGATGCAATTTCTCACACACAAAATCTTTATCATTTCCTACTGGCATATTTCTTACAGTATATGTTTTATTTAACACACACACACACGCGCGCACACACACACACACGCGCACACACACACGCGCACACACACACGCACGCACGGCACGCACACACACACAACACACAACTGAATTTGAGAATAAAAATACTAACAAATTTAAAAACTCAGGATACCTGAATCAAAAATTAATAATTATTTATTTTATTTTTATTTTTCTCCAGTGACTGAAAAAAATTGTTTATTAACATTTTCATCATATTTTATTTGTTTGCAGCAAAAAAGAGTATAAGTTGTTTTAGTAATTGACCTCCATGAGTTATTCTGAGATTATTTTGTTTCACCAAGATTTTCTTTGCAAATGATAAACATGACAGATCAAACAGAAAGCAAAGAGCAAGATTAGAACATGAAACCCTGCAATTAGAAAAGAGGACATGATAAAGTAAAAAGCATACAAAGGTTCACAGCTTGTGAATCAACACGTTATCCATCCATCCATTTCCTTCTGCTAATCCGGAGTCGGGTTGCGGGGGCAGCAGCCTAAATCGAGAGGCCCAGGCTTCCCTCTCTCCAGCCACTTGGGCCAGCTCTTCCTGGGGAACCCCAAGGTGTTCCCTGACCAGGTGAGAGACATAGTCCCTCCATCATGTCCCGTGTCTCCCTTTAGGCCTCCTTCCGGTTGGACGTGCCCGAAAAACCTCACCAGGGAGATGTGCAGGAGGCACCTCAACTGGCTCCTCTCGATCAACATGTTAATTAGACAATAAATAAATAAATAAATAAATAAATAAATACACAAACAAAAAAATTAATAAATAAAGGAGCAGCGATCTTGTAATCAGACGTTTTGTGGTCTGATCCTTAGTTTTCCCAGATTGGCGTGACTCAACTGAACTCTACATTTTAATTCAAACTAACAAGACGCTTTAAGTGAGAAGTAATGTTGAATGAATATGTTTAATAAGACATGCAACATTTTCGCAGAAGAGAAAAAAAGCACAGTGGCTGCATTCCACTTAAAGCAGCAGTGTGTAAAAAGATTCAACTCATTAGTACCATGGAGGTCAGAGTAGGTGCTGCAGCTACAGTAGCCCGCACACATCAACACAGCTATGGGAAAACACCACACACCAGTTTTCAACTGCCTGCAAGTTTTATTTACTGTTTCTGCTGTTTCATGCAGTCGGCGTCTCCAGGCCCGGAGTGGCTAATCGGGAGGGTCTGGAGAATTCCCGGTGGGCCGCGCGATGTTTGGGCCGCATGGGGCCGGTGCTCTCGTTTTTGTTTTTTATCATTTTATTTTTATTTTTTGGTGCCGGTGTTCAGTCATGGCACTGAGGCCGCCGGGCTGATCACATACGCTCCTCCCGGCTGTCTCTGGCTGGCTCTACCTGCAGGCTGCAGCTCGTTATTTTCCCCCGTATGCGCCTGTGCGCACCACGTGACCACGCAGTTGACGGAAAGATGGAAAGTAGAAAGAGCAAGGGTGGCGCGGAAAAGGCAAGAATTAAAAAGAGGAAAGCGTTGGAAACAGATGCAGCCAAGGCCGGATTAACCATATGGGCAACTGGGCAATTGACCAGGGCCCACGAACTCTGGCCCAGGGGGCAGCAAGCGCACGAGCAAAATACTGTAGGCATGTCTGTAATCTCCCGCATTATATTAAACTAGGGTGACCGTATGTCCGGTTTTCCCCGGACATGTCCACTTTTCACTCTCTGTCCGGGCGTCCGGACTGGGGGTCCGCGGTCGTATTGATGAAAATGTCCGGCTTTTCATCCAGGAGCAGGGATCGAATTGTGGGGGAGCTGTATATCTTAATCAAGGGGAGCCGGAAACAAGTTTTCTATCTATATTACATCATTTATGGACTCTTCTGAGCAGAGAGCACAGAGAGCGGCACAGCGCGTTCTTGCGCAGCGCTCCAGGCAGCTGCTTCCAGCGCACGGTCCATTCTCAAAGTGGCGCAACCAAAAAACTATAATTAGCACACGATCGTTCATGTCCGCACATATTCTCTATTTTCTGTCTTATTTGTGCCTGAAGCGCTCTGCTGCTGCGCAGCTCATCGCCTGTGCTGCGGTGATTTCACCTCACTGACGCATCGAAAGGCGCACTCCGCTTTGCGGTCAGGAGATCCCTTTGATCTGCTCAGAAGTAACTGATGAGGTGAAAAAGTAAGAATCCAGGCAGCAGTTTTTTCTGGAGAGTTTAGAGGAGACGCAGGAAGATGAGAGACAGACAGGACAGGAAAATAGTTAAATAAAAACAAGAAAACAAAACTAAGTGTGGAAAAGTAAAATGTAGGTAGATTTATCTCCACTACACGTTTTTACCAGTATAAAACAATAAGTTATACACATGTCATATTTACACATCTGATACAATTCAGATCACCTTCAAAACTCAGTCACACACCCAGGGCCGTGTCAAGACATTTTGGGGGCCAAGGCAAAATGCCCCCCCCCCCCCCCCCCCATAACTGGGCTCCCCAGAAGCCTCTGTGTAATTGTTACCCTCTCCAGTAGTGTTAGTTATATGGTGTTTATAAAAGCTCCTCAGACATTACTGACATGTTCTAATATTATCAGATGAAAAACTAAATTATCAGACATGCTGTCTCATCTGCTGCTTTTCTAAACTTGCAAAAAGTAACAAAACCATGTGAAAGCCACTATTTGTGGATTCTCTGAAAGTTTCCATGGAGTGTGTGACAACTTATTTTTTCATTGATCCTATCGTCTAATCTCACAGCTGAAACAAGCATCCTTAATAATCTGTGCACAGGAAGCTTACCGATGCTGTAGTAAAACAAAAGGTATAATAATTTATTATTAATAAAACCTTGTTGCAGCACTAAAGCAGAAAAATGAGATTTTGCATTAAATATGCTAAATATTTACATATGAATTGTTTTAGAGCCCTTTAATTGGCAGAATCTGATATTAATTTAGTTCTTACAAAAAAATGGGTCCCAGCGTGGTTTGTGTGGCGTTGCCATAGTTTGACGACATAGGCACAGATCCCCTGTCCTCTTGTTTGGAAATGGAAATATGGTCACCCTATATTAAACAAACTGTCCACCCGGGCTTTTGCGCTGCACAGAGACGCTTCGCTGTCTATGACTGAACGTCAGTTGAGAGTCAGTCTCATGCAGACTGACCAATGAAGAGAGGGCCTCAAGTTAAGACCCTCTCCTCATTGGTCAGTCCACACAAGGTGGGTCAAAGGTTACCCTGAGCGGGTTACGTGACATCAGGCATTCAAGCATTATATTTACTGCATTTTTCAGTAAAATATTCTGTATGTGACCATATTATGGTGATCCTTGGGTCGTGATGATGGGGTCCTTGAATATTGTTGCCCAGGGTACAACGAAGTCTTAATCTGGCCCTGGATGCAGCTAAATGTGCAAAAATGAGCACCTTTTTTTCTCAAACAAGCTCGCGGTCTTTAACTTCAAATGAAGATAAAACGGGTAAGGCAAGTCAAGATGTTAAACTTTACCGGCTGCAAATCACCATTCAAGTTAATTAAGCATCAATAATGAATTATATGGCATCATGACATAACGTTATGTAATATCATTAACAGTATGATGTGACTGATGCCACCAAACTGTCTTGTCAGAGTCAAACACAAGATCCAGTAGGCCTAATAAGCACCAGGCAGAAACCCACAATTCCAGAGCGGACATGTACAGGTAGGATTACTTATTGAGTCAGTGAACTGAATATTATTAAAATTTATATGATGAAAACTATCCTGGCTCTATATGAAAGTGTTCTAAAATGCTAGATGATTCAGCATTGATCAGAAAGCGTGTAAAAAAGGAAAATGAATGCTGAATTGGGACAATTTTCACACAATGTAGTGTCAGAAGAAGAGTCAGGAGCCAGCAGTGAGGGTATTGCTCCTGTTGGGATAGAAGGTGAGCCAACTCATGTGCAAACAAGCAAACATCAGTTTCATTATAATAATTTTAATGTCCAAATAATAGTAGTGACCTGTTGTATTTTTATTAGTAAATGCACAAAGCCCACAACAGATCGCTATTAGAATGAAAGTAAAATGAAATAAGCCTGCATATTTTGCCATAGAAAATATTTTAATTGGTTACAAAAATGTGTTTTCCATATCAAATTTGCTAAAGCTTTACAGATGATTATTTTAATTGTGTGCAGGTGAGTCTAGGGAAACTGGAAAAAGTGTGAAAGGGAGTGCTGAGTCATTTCATTTTAAAGGTTTGAAAATCTCAGAACAACTGTTTGAACAGAAGGTGGATTGTTATATTGTTAGAGAATGTGTTGTAAAGAACAATGTTGGAGATGTGCACTGATGTTCAAATAAACCTACATTGTAAAGCAACTCTTGTAAAGCAACTCAACTCTTTCAACTCTTTCTTGCTTTACAATTACAAGGCTTTACCGAGTAGTGTGCTTTTGTAGACTATACATATAAAGTTCTAACATGATTTTAATAATAATTCGTTAAGTGGGCCGGTCTGGGGTCTGAAACTCCAGGGCTGAAAATGTGTCCCACTCCGGCCCTGGGCGTCTCTCTCGGGGATTAAAGAGCCCACTGTCCTGTGAATTTATGAAGAAGGGGTCTGATCACTCATTTGCAGCAGCTACTGTCCTCATGCTCTAGTGGTGCTGCTTCTGATGCGTGTAATGTGTCTGCAGTGCCCGCTGTTTGTCTGCCGCGCCACTCGCCTCCCTGTAACTTGAACTAATGCTGAATTAACGGAACACTTTGCAGTTTTGCTTTGCTTTTAGCACCCCCTAGAGTCCGTTTGGCTAACTGTTGTAAATCCAACACAAACTCTCCTCGTCGCTGTGCGTTTGTCTTTTTAACACCTTAACTGCTGAAATCTTTCCTCAGTCTTTGTTAGTTTCTACAGCCAGGCTATTCAATTCCGGGCCTCAAGGGCCGGTATCCAGCACATTTTGGTTTTAACTCTGCTTCAACACACCTGATTTCAGTCAGTAGGCAAATAATAGGCCTCTGCAGAGCCTGATGAGCCGCTGCACAGGTGATTCAACCACTGAATTAAGTGTGGACCAGAGAAACCAGTTTGTGCGCAGCACACTGCGAATTGGATGGTGTGTGAGGATTTCAGGACCTCTGATAGAGACGATAAAGCAGGGGTGCCCAATCCTGGTCCTGGAGGGCCGGTATCCAGCAGGTTTTGAGGTTTTTCTGCTCCAACACACTTGATCAAATGGTTGAATCACCTGTGCAGCATCTCATCAGGCTCTGCAGAAGCCTATTAATCACCGGCTGATTGAAATCAGGTGTGTTGAAGCAGAATTAAAACTAAAACATGCTGGATACCGGCGCTCGAGGACCAGGATTGGGCACCCCTGCGATAAAGCATCAATGACTGAGCGTTTGCCTGGTTAGAACAGAGCTTATGTGGGTCTTAGGGTGAGTGTATGATCGGTGACGGAACGGGACGTGATCGCTACCGCCTGAGAAACATGTAGAAATAACTACAAACCCGAGGAAAGCAAAACATATTAAAGTTGTACCTACAAGGGCAATAGGGTGATTGTTAGGTCTGCATCCAGTTTGAATCCTTATATGTCTCTGAGCTCTCGTGATTCTGAAAACTCCAGACGTTGACTCTTGTTTGACTCCTATTGTGGTCCGACACATTTTTTATTTGTTAGCTCCATAAGATAAATGTTTTCTTTGTTTCTTCGGAGGCTTTGCTATTAAAGAAAACGTACTAGAAATGCTAACCGGGGGGTGGGGGGGTGGGGTATTTCCCAGAGCAAGCTAATCCCAAAATCCTGGCTCTCTTTAAAAAAATCCCAGTTTCACTTCCCCAGATTCACAAACATGGCAGTCCTGAAGCCCCTCCCATTCACCATGGTAACACATGCTGGAGAACAAACCTGCTTGGCAGGCTAGCAGCCAGGCTTGCTGAAACTTGGTGAATACGACTAGACGAAACATGTTACTTCCCCTTTTTCTTGTCAGCAGCTGTCAGCTACAAGGTGGTGAATTAGCGCCACCGCTGGCTCACAGCAGCAGCTGCACCTTTGATTTTGTTGGCTAAATTATCTATAAATATGGAGTTTAAAACTTTAAAATTGAGTTCCAACTATACTGAATTGATGTTAAAAAGCAGTGTATCATTATTTTAGAGAATGTACATACAAACATTTACTGTATTTCTTTTGTGTGATGCAATTGAAACTCCAACTGCTAGGGGGCAGCAGTTTTTACCACATTCACTCTGATGGAACGAGATCTCGCGATAACAGTGAAGGTGTCTTAGGAGGTTTTTTTTAAGTGTTTTTTTTTAATTAGAAAAGGTAACATACAAACAAAATGCACCTTACATTATATATTCAAAAGATAATCATTACATGCATATTCAACATTTTCACGTATATGAAAAAGAAAACAATACAAAAAGAAAATCTAAAGCTGGGGTCATCTAATTAACAGATTATTAACTTACTAACTCAAAATCTTCTACAAAGGAAATAAACAAACCAGCCTTTTTCTTTTTAACTAAATTCAAAGATTTAACTAATAATTTTAAGTCATTTTTCCAATAGGCTAGTGTTGGTTTGGTCTTAAAAAATTGGCATTTATGTATAAACTGTTTACACAAAATTAATAACACATTAACACCATAACTAACTTTCTTTTCTTTCAAAAACACTCCAAACATTATCATATTTAAGTGTCTTAGGAGTTTCTGGCCTGATTTATTTTTTAATCCTAATTTTTATTTTTTCTAATTTTATGATTTTTAAAATCTTTTTTACTTTGAGTGTTTATTCTTCTTCAATGAAATTCAGTCTTAAAAACTGTGAATATTTTCTGGTTTCTGTTATCACAATATATTGAATTGTCTCTCTTGTACTGTGATACATATCATATCGCCAGATACTTTCCAATACACACCCCTGCATAGCATCAGAATAACAATGCTCCTGCTGAAGATCATCTTTTATTTAGTTTTAGAAGAATTTATTTTAAACCTTTAAAAAAAAGTTTTTTAAAAAAGCGTACAAATACAATTTTCTATTCCTTTGCTAAACTGAACATGTTTAAAAAGCAAGAGTTAGAAGAATAAATTCAATGAATTTCAGAGGAACAACATTTTAAAACATTTCTTTTGTGTCACCCACATCTACAAGATATCCAATGTTGCTCTTTTAAACAGGTCACTTCCACACCTGGTTGATGCTTATTTGACACCTATATTCCCTATCGTCATCACAAGATTAGTCTGAAGTGTCTAGCACTCTGTGACAGCTGCTCAAGAGACCATATTAGTCTATTAGGGACGGTGTGTATCAGGATGGCCGTGGGCGAACTTCTGTATTTATAGCTTTGAGTCATTAGCTGGAATGGTGTAAGTGTATCCCTCCATCAGCATGCTTGTTCACTTAAGACCGTGCAAATCACTGGAAAAGCACGGACTCCGTTGTTTAAAAAGAATTTGCAAATTAGGATAAAATCATTTATGTGGTTGGTAAAAGTGTGATCAGAGGTTTTACAGAATTACATAAAAAAGTCCATGACAAGTCTATGAGAATGGGTCCCACAACCATACAACGAGTAAAAATGCCCAATTAGTTGAAAATCCTATGGCTTAAAAACTATAAAGGCCTTTCATTGCTACACGAATGGGTTTGTTTATGTGTGTGTCCATGTGTGTGTTTATCAGATTAGTATTCACGGCAGATTTTGATGACTCTTTCAAGGAAACATTTATTGAATCTACAACTGATTAACAGGATCCAAGATGGCCGAACAAACAATTCACAATAAAACACTAAAGTAGCTAAACTTCAGACAGCTTTAAAGGCACCGAGCTAAGAAATGGTGTCACATTAGCTTAGTGACAATTCTGACAAGACCATTGTCACAAAGCAACACGCGTAACACCATAAAACAGGACAGTACGCACCAAATAAGCCATGCTGCTGCGTTGTTGTTGTACATTCCTTCAGCCATTGTGCTTGTCCTGTTTTAATTCTGTCTGCTTTTTTCCCGCCAGCCTCTGTTTACTGCCTGTGTTGCTATAAGCTAGCCGGAAGAATATTCTGAGCGTTACATAAAGACCAACATCTCTGCGGGAGATTCTGTCATGACAGGCAGCATGTGGCACATTTTGTCCCAATTACTATTGCATATTTTTTCTATAAATAACATTTTTTTAAATACTTTTGAGAAGCTTTTGTGCAAACAAGATAACAATTACTTTACATACAAGATGTCATTTTCTGATACACTCTCCAGCTCACTGAGCTTTGTGTCCAGCAAGTTGTACACATAAGATCGGCATGCTGCCTAAACAGGCCCGTGTGAGGTGCAGAGCATACTTTATGTGATCTGTGTCTGAATGAACTAAGTTTAGACAGCATGTGAAAGCATTCACCAGAAACTGAAGAGGCAGGGCAGTCACACAAGGTCAAAGCACCAGTGAGTGAGGTAGTTTGTCCTGTCGTGATGCTGATGTGACTTGGAAATAGGATGAACGTCAGTAAACCCAAGTATTTACTAAAATGAGAACACTGATATAACTTGTTCTTTCATTTGTCTCAGAACCCACTGTTTTATGTATTGGTGGGACTGAACAATGGTTTAGTCTTGAATGAATCATAAAGTGTCATTTTTTATCTTCTGCAGCATCATTGCACCACCTTTGGACAGTGCAGACAAAAAGGGCCTCCAGGTGGGGGTCCAGCTACCTGCCAACGTGCAAACGGGGCCTCAGCAGCAGAGCCAGCTCCTCTTGACTCCAGCGAGCCTCCAGCTCGCTCAGCTCCAGGCTCAACTTACCCTCCAACGGCTCAAACTGGCTCAGGGAAGCAACGCGGCCGCTGCTGCCGGTGTTCTCAATCAGTTTCTGTCCAATGTCAACATGTCCCAGCCGCTGTTAAATCAGCTACGGACTTCAGCTATGGTTGGAACTCCACAGAGTGCCTTTTCCACTGAGATGATGGGTTTCCCCTCCTCAAATTCAGCCATCGGAACCTTGACTGGAGGGGGATTCAACCAAAACCCCGGGAATGTGAGACTGAATAATCCCTGTGGAGCTGGCACAAATGGTCAGCAGGTTGGAAAGTCGTATCCTTCTGACACCGACAGAAGACTTCAGTACAACTTAGCTGGAGGGGCATCAGCTGAAGGACAATACACAAATAACACAACCAGCGCTGGGTTTCCAAGAGATTTCTATGGGAAGGATATGCCGGGACAACCAGCTGGGTTTACTTCTAACGAGCAAATCAATGTTTGTAACTCAAATGCACACAAAGAGCAATGGAAAGGCCCTTCTAATGTAACTCAAACTGGAAATGTGGATGTGATTACCAATCCTCCCACAATGTGGACTAAAAGTGGACAGCCCATTTGGCCCAGAACAGATCTTTATAACCCAGAAGAGCCAACCACTGAGTCCAAGATAAATTGTAGTGGTGGGATATCCGCTTTTGCTTCCAGAGGCAATCAGGGATTTGGAAACTACCAGCCGCTTCATGGAAATGAGGAAACCTTATCTTCAGGTACCAGGACACTCCAGGCCCATCAGGTCAATGATTATTATGGTGCTACACCCATTCAGCTGCCTCACCAGTGTAGTATCTGCGAGAAAAAGGTCTATAATCTCAAGGTAAGTGAAATGCTCAGTGGAAATTGAAATATAGTTCAGCTGGTTTATTATTCTACTGGCATCTAGTCTCTTGTGAACCTCAAATAAGATATGACATTTTACCGTGTTTCAAACCTTTATCTCCATTAAGTTAAAAGATTTAGTCAATGTTACCTACAAGATCTATGTATAATATTCCCAAAGGAATTGGGAAAGCCCACCAAGTTGATAAATTCAGATGTTTCAATAAATACATGAATAAGCAAGCTTGGTGTGGTGGAACTTGAAAGGCCTGCACGGCTCTTGATCTCAACCCAGAAAAGCCAACCGCTGAGTCCAAATTAAACTAGGGTGGTGGGGTTTCCGAACTAAAACAGACAACATCATAGCCTAGTGAACTAGACCAAATTCTTGCTTTACAAAGTTTGGTCTAGGCATGCTCCATTGGAACCTCAGCAGCTCCTACCAGGACTCTGGCTAGCCAATCACAGCTCTCTAGAGGGGTTTCAAACACATAAAGAGCTGTGATTGGTCCATAATGGTGGGCCAATCATAGTGCTCTATCTGCTTAGTGAACAAATCACAGAGCTTTATCCGCTTTGTGGGCCAATCAGGGCACTCTATATGCCTGGTGGGTGGGATGATGCAACAGAGTGAAACAAGAGTATGTCACATTCATTGTCCAGTAGCATGCGGAGATCATTTGAAAGACAACGGTAGATCCCACCCCACAACCAAGAGCCGTCAATGGAGTGTGGCCAGACTAAATAATACATTTATTTAGTCTGGCTTGCCAGGCTAACAACATCAGTGTCTGACCTCACAAATGCACTTCCCGAATCAAATTTGATATGAACACACAGAAGCAATGTGTGTCGTTAGGCAAAGCAGGCAAATGTTTTGGAGTCCCAGGCCACCAGTGTTGTGCCTGAATGCATTCATTGAATGATCGTTCGTGAATGTGTTCATTTTTTCCATGAACGTAAACTAAACTCGTTCTTATTTAGCCTGACAAACGTAAAAGTGAGTGCGTTCATCCTGGCGTGCGTGAACGGGTTTATGAATGTGTTCTTTCGCCATTCTAGCTCCAGATCTCCACAGAGCTTTTCCGGAGCAAAGGCCAAGCTAAAACATCCCGTTAAACATAGAGTTTATAAAAAGTAGAACCCGCAAATGCGGCCAAACATAAGCAGTAGCGGTTGGTGCGGTGTCTACTCTTCTACGTCTATGCTGTGTGCAGGAGTCAAAGTTCATTCAGAAAAACTGAAAAGGGACTTAACTGAAACATTATACATTTTTTAATGTTTTGCACTTTTAATATTGCACTTTGAGTTTGCTACCTCAGCCTGGTTCCTAAGATTGTTTAATAATTTTCCATTAAAAAAGCTGTTCAAATAATGTTTTCCTCTTGTTATTGAGAATACGTATACTGTGGGGTAAAAACTGCAGCTGAGTATGAGTGTGGACTGAACGGGTGCCAACTGTTGTAAACTTATTTAATAAGTTATATATATATATATATATATATATATATATATATATATATATACCTTCAAAGCAATCCATAACCTCTCTCCTCCATATATCTCTGACCTTATAAGTATTAACACCCCATCCCGTTCTCTCAGATCTTCTTCTTCCATCCATCTTGCGGTTCCTTCTGCCCGTCTCGCTGCCATGGGGAGCAGAGCTTCCATCCACTCTGCTCCTCGTCTCTGGAACTCACTTCCCCCAGATATCAGGAACATCGACAGTGTTACTCTTTTCAAAACCAAACTCAAAACACATATGTGTAAATCTGCCCATGACCTCTGATTTTATTGAACTGTTTCTCTCTTTGTTTTTTCTTGTGTGCATTTTATTATTGTTTTATTGTATTTTATTAAGTATTTTCTGTCAAGTGACCTTGGGTGTTCTGAAAGGAGCTTTTAAATAAAATGTATTTTATATATATATAGGAGAAAAAATAACTATGAACTAGTTCATTTTTGGAACAGTGAACTTAGTTCAATTTTTTTTTATTATGAACTAAGAAACAAACTAGTTTGTTTTAAAATGTATGAACTGAACTTTGAACTAGTTCATTTTTTAAACAAACTTTCCCAACACTGCAGGCCACAGGGGGCCCTCAGAGGGCTGGCAAACTTTGAAGTCTGAACCACAACAGAATTGAGACAGTTAAAAGCTGTCATTTGACAGCACTCAGCGCGTTTACATGCACATCAGAAAACCAAAGTATTGCCTTAAAATGTCTCACGTCGTGTTTTTTAATTGCAAGTGAACATGTTAGCCTGGCTGAAGGCAAACTGGCTCTAGTTGAGCTGATGCACCTAGATCATGCGATAGCATTCTGATGACATCCTGCGTGTAAATGGGTAAGCTGAACTAAACTGCCAGGACACTCGCTTTCCGGAAGTGAGAAGACCGTGGAAGTGGTCCTCTGACAAGACCTTCGTCACAAAGCAACACGCCTAACACCATAAAACAGGACAGTACTTACCAAATAAGCTGTGCTGCAGCATTGTTGTTGTACATTCCTTCAGTCATTGTGCATATCCTGTTTCAAGTCCGTCTGCCTCACTCCAACCAGCCTGTTTACTGCTTGTGTTGCTAACTTGCTATAAGCTAACTGGAAGAATGCAGACGTGAAAAGGGGCATGTCGCCACTTACTGTACCGGAGTGGAACAAACTTTATTTGAGAGGCCGGTTTTCTAATGTGCATGTAAACTAGGATAAAGACTCACAGCTTATTACAATAAGATTGACCTGGATCGACTTAGACATCTAAGTCTGTTAGCTGTTAGCAATATCAGACTCCCTGACGGGGCCACCCCCTCCCTCCTGACTGCTTGGCTGTATGGTTCCTCATCTGAACTGTACAAGCCAAGATATTTGTTGGTTTGGAAGCAACTTGTGCTATACTGTTACCATGCATAAAAATGAGAGTATCATCTGCATACATGTGAAGATAGAACACACAGATAGAAAATTATTGGCATGTATGATAAACAATGATGGGTCCAACACCACATCCTTGTGGAATACCTGTATATATCTTCATAAAAGATGATTTAGGACATATGATGTCATTAGCTGAGAATTTAAACACTCATGGCTGATGTTTATGTTTATGTATTTAGCAGACGCTTTTGTCCAAAGAGACTTACAAGTGATAATCGGCATGTTGCCCTTGAGGCTAACAACAACAATAACAACAACTTGACATTACTCATGGAGAGGAGGGAACAAAGGAGTGGACGGTCATGCTATTCACACTCATGCTATTCTTGGATAATGATGATGTCACACAAAAGCTGCATAAGTTTTGCAACAGAGGCAAGCAGTTAGTTTCTAGTGTGTGAACCCAGTTTTAGATCAGACAATCTGAGTTTGTGTATGTGTTTTTAGGACTGGGACCAGCATGTGAAAGGAAAACTACACCTGCAGAATCGAACTTTGTACACAAGTGAACAGTAAGATATTTCAACTGCTAATCTATGAAGTATAAGCTGTGACCATAAACACCATTTTTCTTTCAAGCAATAGTTAAAATTTTTGTTTTTTGTAATTGCCTTAACACCTGACCGGTCAGACCAGAGCACATCCTTCACGGGTGTGTTGGGAGTGTTTCTTCTCTATTTCCTTGAACCACAAACAGCTGTCTTGATCTTTCTAAGAGCACGAGCTCTGTCACAGGATATGTGTAAGTAAAGCAGGGGAGAGGCTGCTAAAATCAGCCGTCTGTGATTGTTGCAGCTCAGCGGCGGCATCAGCTGGAGTTGCTCAGTATGCCGTCGGCGGCACACCCTCTGATGGAGGCCTGAACCCAGCAGGAACCAACCCTATGGTCTGCTCTGGTGTGACTCAAGGTAGGATAATGCATTCATCACCACCAAATCCTGTTTGTAACCCTAACCCCAACTACTGGTAAGAAAGTAATATAATTATCTCTGGTAGAGAATGCAAAACAAACTATTTTAAGAGCTACACAAGACAGAGAGGCATCAGTGTAGTATGTGTATTTTCATCCATTGATGTCTGCGGTGAGAATAGTGTTTTAAAATGAACTGACACTACTCTAAACCCAATAGAAGATATGTTGTCATAAAATGCACACAGAATATAAAAAAATAGATCCCCCCCCCCCCCCCCCCCCCCCCCCCGTTAGGAACAAGCCTGTTGGCTATCACATCCAAACACATCTCTGTACAGTATCACGCAACATTCTGTAATACAAACTGTCTGTGGGTGGTCCAGACAACATGACAGACCCTTTGAGATGATGTCATGTTATCCTGTTTCACTCAGACAGCACATGGCAACTTTTTGTCATGTTTTTATTAACATTTTAGACAATTAAATAGAAACAAGATACAACATTTAAAAAGGGGTCAGTCTTGACAATTTTACAGGACCTTGGAAGTTATTGTAACTTTACAAAGTTTTTAAATTTTTCATACAATTTTTAAGGATCTCATATCTATGGAAGCCAATTCCCGCCACTCAGACAAAAATATATCTCATAATTATGATATAGCTAAATCATAATAATCAGAAACTAATTATTCTATTTATATGCTGCAAACACTAAATCTAATCTAATACAAGCCTAGACTATGATTAGGAAAGTGTAACATTTAATTATATTAAGGCAGTTAGTGAGATTGAATGTATGGGTGTGTTGCTGCATTATTTACAAAAGGATATGCAAGGATTAACAAATAGGAGATTCTGTGTACCATTGGACAGTATGCAGTCGGGATCTCATCCCAATGTTGCTCATTTATCTCCATGGCAACAATCTGAAACAGAACAATGTGGTTTCATAACATTGGTAGACGCCCTGGCACCAAGCAGACTTTCTTTGAGACGATGTAACACTGACTAACCAGAACATTAAAAAATGTGACTCCATCCTCACTGTTGTTGCTCACAAAGCATTCAGGCTCTAAAACTCACTGTTTTTAACAGACGCATCTTCAGGAACCAATGTGTCCTTCATCCCAGCCGCTGCCATGAAGACTTATCCAGTGTCAGACGCAGCATTTACCTCCCACCAGCTGGAGTCAAAGGTCAGACAAATGTTAAGTGGATTTTTTACATGTGATGATCAGAATTCGCCCTTGACTTATGACAGCTTATATGCATAAAGCCACTTGTTTTTTATAGTGCAATGGTGTCCAATGCTGTCTTTGAGGGCCACTATCCAGCAAACTTTAATTTTTAAAGGCTTTTCTGCTTCAACACACCTGATTTCAGTGTGTGGTTAACAGGCTTCTTCAGAGTTTGACGACATGCTGAACAGATAATTCAACCAGTTAATCATGTTCACACGGCAGGATAATCATGTCCACTCCTGACCAGCCCCATCCCTTCTGACAATCTTGATGTTGCGTATAATTAACAAAATGGCTCTAAAGGTGCTTAAAGCCGTGAAGGCTGTTTTATCCAGATGTGTGAATTCTGTTACGATGGTGGCTTTTATTAGTCATCATAGGTTCGCTGCCGATACGTGAATTTTTTATTTAGGTCCATCTGTCACAGGCTTCGCCCACACTCACTCTGGTTTGAGATCTTTTATGGTAGCTCCTCTTCTAAGAAGGATAACGACATCTTCTGGGCTCAGAAGCACCGGAATTTGCTAACAGATAAGTTGCTCCATATTCAACCTTTAATTCTGTAGATATACCCAAGATTAGTAATTAAATGGGAGGTTGCTAATTTAATCCTATTTAGAATTTAGAACATGAACGTGTACACAGAACAGCAGGACTTGTCATTAATTTGCCACATTACAATCAGTTTACCAGTTTTTATTTTTTATTTTTGGACCATGATTGAAAACCAGCAGCTGTTGATCTGTTGATAGCAGGACGTCTTGCAGACAGATGTCGTCAAAAGCTCTGAGCAGATGATAAGTGAGGTGAAAGGTGCCCAAAATTAGCCCCAGCAAACTTGCAGAAAGATCACACTGGTGCCCAGCAGGAAGCTTTCGACAGTCAGTGGACGTACACAAGTGTCAGAGCACACCGTGTACTGTACTTGTATCCGCCCAGCAAACTTCAAAGCTAGTTCAGCTTTACTCTGCCTCTAGCTCCTGTAAATAAAGTGCTAGAATAACCTTACAAAATAAACTGTTAAAATAATTAGAACAGATTTGTCAAAAAGAAAAGCTACTGTACTGAATATGTTTTAAATATATTTTGAATCTCTGGTGTTTAAAGACATTTGTTTTATTACTAAACTAACAACAGATATTTTTTTAGATTTAAAGCCAGAGCTTTTAACATCGATCTCAGTGATTATTGGGTTAGAAACTTGACACCACTCTACTGACAAAAACTGCACTAGATAATTTTGTGCAGCGAGGAGGTGTTCTAGGGGGAGCTCTTTACCTGATTTACGACTGTTAGCTGTAATGCTACTGGTTCTCATTCTCAGTTTGATGATTATCGATAAAAAGCACAACAAAAAAAAAAAAAAAGAAAAAGAAGAAATTTGCTTTTTCTGTTGGCATCATGGTCCTGGAAGTAAAAGCAACAGCGTAATGTCTTTGGAGGCGAAGCAAAGAGCTAAAACCAGAGTGAACGGTTTGAGGGAGCTAAAGGAGGCTACTAAATCATGGCCTGACTTCTGGACTTGTAAGTCATCTTATTATTTGTCCAGCAGTGTGGAACTTTTTGTGGTTCATTTAAGTGTTAGTTGGCTCATGTTAGTATCAGCTCATTGTTAATGCTAGCCACAGCAGGCTGCTGCAGCAGGGTTGTTTATGACAGTTGTAATTCCACGTTCAACCAGTAGGGTTGAGGAGCGGGAAACACTGTTACTTTAAAAACTAAATTTGCATTTGCATGCATTGTGGTGCATAGATATAAAACAATAAGACAGACATTAGGTCAAACCAAACTGGAAAAGTTTAAACAAAAATGATAAGACTTAAAATAAAGGGCCTGAAACAACAATAATGACCAGTTTAGTTTTATTTATTTAATTATTCCCATTCAATGGGAAACCGACTCTTTTGTCCGCATGAGGACCTATTTATAAATCATGCTTTCACTTGTTTTTTACAGCTGTAGCTTGAACTTTGTGACATGACAGGTCATTTATTTTACTAGTTTGTTGCAGACAAAAGATTTTATTATATCAGGGTGGAAATATTTACAAGCCGAGCTATGCTGTGGTCCGTGAGCTAATGTTAGTTCCTATAAAACACACCTGTCTGAGCTTGACATACGGGGTTTACTACCATGAAAGACCAGTTTCTAACAGAGTGCTTGAGAGCTCACACACACGCACACACTCGTACACAGGCATACACACGTTTAACCCTCCCACTGTCTTTATGGGTGACCCTGCGAGGAAAGTTGACCATTGAGCAGGATCAGGATTGATGGTTTATCCCTTGAGGTCCACGTGGCAGGGGTGAGATGTGAGCACCACCTCACCCCTGCCACGTGGACCTCAAGGGATAAACCATCAATCCTGCTCAATGGTCAACTTTCCTCGCAGGGTCACCCATTAGGACAGTGGGAGGGTTAAAGCATTTGAATTTACAAAATTTTAAAAGTTATTAAATGAAAATGATGGTTCATTCATTCTGAAGAAACACCGGTGCACTAAGCCACATCACAGCTGAGCTTCATACAGCAGGATTTGAGGTCTTATTTCCTGATACTTACAGTTTTTCACAGTTGCTTTGGTGCATTTCTCACAACAGAATTAAACTTTGCACAACAGTTAGTTCAACCTCCACAACATGTAGTCGTTTTGGCACAACCTAGTGGCGGTTTCATGTTCATTCAGGCAAATGCCTTTGGACATGAAGCAGTTGAGTAAGTACAAATATCTAAAGAATGGTCACTTTTGACTTGCTATTCATCACGATCTCCTTGCTTTTATCAAGAATGTCATAATTATTTATACTTGTACCGGCTGAATAGTCATTGTCCTTACAACTAATAGTCTTCATTTCATTGCTTGTGTCATTGCACTCAAAACTGTTGAACATCTTGTCAAACAGTTTGTACACCCATTTTGAAAACCCTGTGTTTAAGGAGTTTCCATGGAAATCTCCATAAATTACTTTTCTCAGGTGAACCTTATCTCACACTAATGAAAATTGGTGTGTGTCCTGGTGACAATCGGACAGTGCATGTAGTGGTTTGGGATAATGCTTGCTTCCATCACTCTGCTGTAGTCAGGCAGTGGTTTGCAGCACACAACAGGATGCTTATGGAGTTTCTTCCGCCTTACACTCCATTTCTAACTCCAGTTGAGGAGTTTTTCTCTTCCTGGAGGTGGAAGGTATATGACAGGCATCCACATACCCAAATGGCCCTGCTAGCAGCTCTGGATGCAGCTTGTGATGACATCACAGCAGAGCATGGACGTAATTTTGGGGGGGGGGGGACAGGGGGGACATGTCCCCCCCACTTTTTCCAAAGTCAAGTTTTGACCCCTGCACTTTTTACCATCCAAAAACAATATTACGCTATATTAAATTGACACTGGTTGAGCTCTAGGACCAAGCGGAAAACAACCGTTTGTGCTGAAGCCGGTTTCCCATTAGAACATACTGTAAAGATACCCCCCCCCCCCCGTGTCCCCCCCACTTCTAAAGTGAAAATTACGTCCTTGCAGCAGAGTCCTGCAGAGGGTGGATTTGACACTCCAGAAGATACTTTCCCCGATGCATCGACAGAGCTGACATTTCCTGTGATGTTGATGAAAATATGTGGGCAGACAGACGGGAGCGTCTAGATATCAATGATTGATATGCAGCAGTGTCTGTTCAGTTTTTAAATTTTTTGTTTTTGTTTCATACTGCAGTAAGGTTTACTGTCTAAGTGAGTTTATGTTTGCTGTAAAATGTTTGTTTTACTGTATTTCCCCAGTTGCACAATGCTGTGAACATTATCAAATTACTAAATATTATCAAGAGTGCATATGAAGTGTCTTGATTTTCCTTTACAATTTATGGTTTTCAACATGCCGTGCATGCTGTCCAGACTTGACACATGTCATTGGGAAGCACCTACAAAGAAATCCGTCACAATGAGAACATGTTCAAACCATTTGATTTTGTGACCAACGGTGCTGGTGTAATGACTTGTAATTGTGACAGCTCTGACACTTTGATTGATATAAGTACTTGCTTTTGATGAATATATTATCTGTTTTGATTAAGGGACTTGCTTTTGGAGCATTGACTACTTATTTTGAGCAACTAACTTTTCTTTTTGATGAAGCGACTCACTTTTGCAAGTTATC